ACAAGAAGGATTATTTAGAGAAATTTTTAACTGGTATTATAAAGATATCTTATCATTAGCATGAAACAGCTAAAAGTATTTAATCAGTGTATTACCCAAGACTAGTTTTTCATATCACTTTTTCATATCAGTAAATAAAAGATGTTTCTTTTGTTCTTTATAGGAACCTACTTTAATCTAGCCTTTCCTAAGATTCAATTTCTTTAAGTGCTTAGTGGATTTCTCTTGAAACATATCAAATTTTTTTTATTCTTATAAATGTAGAAATTTACCATATCATTAAAAACAATTTAATCTTTCTTCTTGAGAAAGAACGATTTTCAAATTCTTGATATTATACATAAGGTAAATCAATAAGTTTGTTGTCTAATTATGAAAATTATTTTCACATAAATAATTTTTTCAACAATTTCCTTCCTTGTCAATACACTTTTTCACTAAAATCAGTGAAATTTTGCACAGCAAAAAATTTCAGATCAAAATTCACCAGTGAAATTACAGAAACATTAAGTCATTGGTTTACTTACCACATACATGTCATATTCAAACCTATGCCTCAAGTCGAGATGGCTTAGGAAATTGGCACTCACTCTGTTAGGATCTCCCCATGGCATGGAAGCACAAATTGGACACACCTGGAGTGAGAAGTAATTAAATAAGTATTTAGAGAACAGAATTAAAAAAGAAATATATTTTTCAAGATGAAGACAAGTATCTTTGTCCTGCTGATACTTTGGCTTTTGTGAAACTAATTTATTATATAAAAAAATTCCTAAAGGACTTAAAATGTTTAAGAATTGAGACAACATCAAAAGATTAGTTTTGCACATAAAATTCAATAGTATTATAACAGTTTGATTATTGTGAGAAGATTTGACCCCTAGACATTCTTAACAAAAAGGAGTAGCTACTATGATCTACTTATAGTTATAAAAGAGAATGAAAAAAAAAAAAAAAAAAAAAAAAGAGATTCTAATAATATCTGACCTCTCGGAACTTTTCTGTTCACCCTCACTAAAGGCTTAATATACATTAAAATACAAATGTCGTCTTAGTTTGGGTAAGATTTTAACAGCCATTTGATCTTGAGAAACAAAACATTTCAACCCTTTCTTGTGAACAGTCAGTCTTGTATTTCATTGGGTCAAAGACCAGTCAAGTTATAAGTTTTCTAGTTTTTGTCTCAGATAAAGATTAATGCTGTCAAAAGTTTGAAAAGAATAAAATAGTAATATAGGACATAGCCTTTTTTTGGCAGGTGGGGTAGTCCCCACCAGAACAAAATTTACGTAACAAGTAGGTATGTAAAATTTATTTCATTAGTTCACTCCAGGATTACAGTTTCCATTTTTTAAAGAAAGCAGCAACAAAAATTCCACACACAAGTTTTTTAGGCTTTTATACTTTAAAAGACATTAACTTCTAGTGGAATAATAGATCAGATTTCACTCCTCCATTTGGTAAATGCATGGACATTAAAGAAAGTGGAGGAAAAATGGATTTATAAGAGAACAAAAATATTTGCACTTATTTATGGAAGGAACCATATACAAATTACAGTGCCTAAGGAGGGCATTAGCAGTAGATAACATTTTACATTATAAAAATGATTTTAAATAATAAAGTTTATCTTTTTGAAACAGTAAATAAAAATTTAAAAGATTAATGTCAAAATTAACCAGATACATATACACTGTATATGCAAATGTTTATTCACATAAAAACAAATATCCAGTCATCATCTGAATTTCAAAAATATACAGGCTGTCAAGGAAAATTTCACATAATGTAAAGTTAAATATTGCAAGCAAGTGTTAAATAGAAAGCAACAATATGGTGGATTAAAAACTTGTCATAAAATATTGCAAATTTCAAATAATACCTAATATTAACATAGGTACCACCACTTTTTCACTAAAAAAGAGCATAGCATGATGAAAAAGGCCCAAAACTTGATGAAAACAAAGTTTTATCATCAAAGACTTTATTTTATTAATAATTAATTTTTTTTATTATTTTATTAAATTTTTTAATCCTTTCTAGCACATTCAAAATTTTGGTTAAAAATCTTTTTGTTTTGTTTTTTTTTTGCATCAGTCATGGGAGTTTAGCAAAAATTTGTTTTACAAAAATCAAATAACTGTTGGATTTTAATGACATTTTCAGGATTTATCCACAAACGAAACAAATTATTTTTGAGAAAATCTTGGTAAATTTCATTTCTAACATCTGTTACCTCTTGCCACTTATTTAATTTTATGAAATTTCAAAAAATTAAAATATCAGGCTCTTCAGAATTATATTAGTTAAAAGCATGACTCATTAGAGAATTTAAATCAATTTGTTTTTGTCAATCAGAAACACCAATTACTGAAAATCTACTCCAAACCATAAAAAAAAAGAAAATGCAATAAAACTATGACATTATTTAATTAGGAAAGATTTTAATTGCTTTTATAAATAAGATGTATTAAGGACATTATTGTCTCAAGAAAAAAAAAATTCAATGAATACTGAATTTTTACAAGAATTGTTTACATTTTTTTGTTTAATTTTAATAATTTATAAAGTTTTGAATCTTAAAATTCTGTATTAATTTCAGCCTTTTAGATTATATTATTAAGTGAAAACTATATTTACTAATCATAAATGGAAAAGCTTAATACCAGTCTTCAAAGACCAAGATTTTTAAAAGAATTTTGAAATATTTTTTATCGGTATAAATATGGCCATTTTTGAAAGTATGGGTGACCATACACAACATTATCAGAAAATAAGAGCAATGACTATAGTAAATTTAAAGCCAACATTCCTAAAATTAGATTACAGAGAATATTTTCCAATATTTTTAAAATTATTGAGTACTTAAAAATTATATAAAAAAGATGGTCATGTCATTTTCTTAAATTATGTTTTACAGGCAAAGTCTCTGGTGAACAACACTGTCATCACCTCATCAAACACGTAAACATGGCTACTGTTAAAAACACAGCTACTGTTTGCTTAAAAAAATCATTTCTGTGATACTTTAAACTTAAGTAAATAATATTGGTTTCAAATCAGATTAATTATACTTTAAATAAGCTAATATTCCTCAAATAAACTTTACATTGTGATGAAAGACTACTAAAAAGGACACTAACCAGCTATTTTAGAAAAAAAAAAAATTCTTTCCAGTCAATCTAAATATTTTGCTTTTTGGTAATGTTAAATTAAAATAAAAGCTTCAAAAAATATTTTTCATTTATAAAAATTCATTTTAAACCTTAGTGGAGGTACCTATATTAACAAATAAGAAAAAAAAACAAAGGATCATTTATCATATTGTATACAGATTTGTACTCTGCAGGGCTTGAGATGATTGTTGGTCCATTAACTTTTGGATGAGAGGTCTTTTTTTCTTTTTTCTTTTTTTGATAGCAAAAAGGAATGATACAAAATTATTAATTAAAATTATTACATTTATTTTAAAAGCAACTAATTTCTTAAAATAAAAAAAAAAAATTATTTCTCACCAATAGAACAGGCTTTTAATAAATGAATCATACATGCACAAATGCCAAAAAAAAAAAAAAAAAAAAAAAAAAAAAAAAAAAAAGAAACAAAACTGAAACACTTCTTTTTAAAATGGTGAATGAAGATTCCAAGTAAAATTATGTTGAGTGACTTCAATTTAGATATTTCTCTTATCTCTAAATGTGAAAATTGTTAATATCTAATTATCTTTAACCTTTAGCATGCTGCATTATTATTACTCCCCTTCCTGCATTTTTTTTTTCAAGGCCTCTCAATTGCAGTATCCTTACTTTTGATTTTACTTATGGTTGTTTGCTGTTGTCATAGCAAGATATGACAACACAATTATGAAATTCAAACACTAATGTTCAGCGATCAGCATCACCTTCAGTGGCAGGATAACAAATGAAGTCATATACAGACTGATAAAGGTTAATAACCAAAGCAAGAAAATTACATTTTTCTGTCAATTTTGGAGGTTAAAAAAACTTAATTATCAACAACATTTAAATTGCAGCATACAAGTTGAGTTTTCAAGAAATATTTTCTAAAAACTTTTCAAGCCTAAAAAATTATTTTGGGTTACTGGTAGCTGACTGTATGTTTGGCGTGGGTGGGTGGGGGTAATTGGTTGACCTATATGTTAGGCCTAACTCAGAATTTTGTGCTAAAAAATCTTGAGGTTGACTTGTACACCACAATTTACGGTATGTGTTATGTTTTCTCTTAAACATAAGCTAAATTTAAAATACAAGAAATTAAAAAAAATGATAAGAAAATTCAGTCACAACACAAGGCAGATAATTGTAAATGAAAAATTTTGATAGAGGCTTTAAACTCTTTGTTTGCAAATTGTTGGAATGCACCAATATTCTTTATAAAGAAAACAAATGCAAAGAGCACAATTTTTAAAAGTCTGACAAAAGTTAATCTCAGCATGAAAATTAATAAGTACATTTCTGTTTAAAATTATTCAAGGTGAATTTGAAATGATTAAATAAGGTATTTTATTGATTGGGTGAGTGATTTATTTTCTAGAGGCTCTCATCCCTTCGCAGAAAATATTTTTAGATTGTAATAATTTTTGGAGGTGGGGAGATAATGATTTAATGATACAAGATTTACTAATTAAGCCATAGCTGGGAGTATAAGAAGTGGATTCACACCTTTCACAAGGATATTTGCATGTAAGTGAATATAACAAACCCAAATGCAATTGAAACTCAGTTCTCCAATTAACAATTCTGAGCCATTATCCATTACACCACCTGTGCATCCAAGCTTACAGTACCTGGTATTCTCAAGCGGTCACCCATTCAGATACTGACCAGACTTGACATTGCTCGACTCAGTGATCATACAGGAACTAATGTTTCAACATGATATGGCTGTAAGCCTTATAATTTTAAAATCACAGTAAAATGTTTTTTGCATTTATTCATTTTTTAACTTATTTTAGCTTTAAGATATTTCTTAAAATTTATGGCCAAGTCATGTTGAAACATCAGTTCTTGTTTGATCACCAAAGTTAAGCAGTATTGAGTGCAGTCAGTAATTAGATGGGGGACTGCCTGGGAACATCGGGTACTGTAAGTGAAAACTGGGTACAAAACTTGTTTGGGCATGGAGTTAGCAACTTCATCCCATGAAATAGTTGAGAGTTGTGGCCCCATATGCCTCAGTAGAGTCTACAGAACTAAAAGGAAGAGGAATATAGTTCTTAAACATTTTAATTATATTTTTATTATGCTACAGGTAAGGTTTTATCATCAATTGCATCTCTGTCTTCAGGCACAGAGATGCAGTTGAGAAAAATAAATACTGATGGTTGCAGTGGCTGAACAATTTTTGTCCTTGGCTCAAATGTGCGTGGTTGGGTTCCTCACATTAAACCCGATCTTGTCACATCCTGTCTCAATGGGGAGACCAAGATAAATAATACTAGTAACTATAAATGATAAAGTTAGAAAAAAAAAATTTCAGATTTCAGCACTGTTCTAAGATAGTGAAAAAAGTTAGTCTGAAACCTCAACACTGTTATGAAAGTGTTTTTTTTTTGTCAATTCATCCCAAGCAAGGTGATATTGCCACTAAGATGCAAGGGACTACTGGGAGTGAAAGAGTATGAGAATACTTTAGAAAGAACCAGAAACCCAATCCTAAACAAGAAACAAGTGATAAACTTTTATTCCTATTCAAAAGACTGAGGAGGAGTGTGAATTGGATGATAGGCAAAGCTATAACTCCTATTGAAATTGGTTTTATTTAAATTGTTTTAATTGGTTTACATATGGTTATGGCCACATTCATAAAAGACGGGTGCCTGAAGTGTGGGATTCGAGTTAGTCACTTTTTCAGATTTAGACTGTTCTTGCAGTCAAAGGGTATTGACCCAGAGATGTTATAAATAGAAAAAAAAAACAAAAAACAATAGGGTATAAAACTAATAATAAAATACTAGCTACAGCTGTTTTTGTTTAAATAGTACATATTTTTTTCATCACAAGTTAAGAAAAACTTTGGGTGATTTAAAAAAATAAAATGGTATAACTAATTATATAAATATCTTATAATCAGGTTTAACCCCTTCTCCGGCATAGACGTGCATACAGTGAGTCCCCTGTCTTTGTGGGGGTTAGGGACCAGAACCATTCGCGAATACTTTTAATCACCTAAAAGTACTTATAAGTATCTATTTTGATTATTAAAACTCCATATGCCTTAAACATTAGAAACATTTCAGACCCATTTTAAAACATTTTTGAAAAATAGTATTGGTGACCATACACTTAGCGTAAATTTTCTTTCATACATACAATAACTGTTTTTAATTACACATAGATTGATACAACCATTGAAAATACTATATAAAATATGTGTAACAAGACATAAAATTTAAAGTTTAAAACATTTTCTAAAAACTGTGATGATGCCCCCAGACTTAACATAAACTACTTTTAAGATCATAGCCACACCACCTAACAAAGATGCCCAAGCACTACACATGTTTTAATCATTGTTTGTTTTTTGTTTTTTTTTACACAGTGAAAATGAACAATTCTGCCAATTTTTACCATAAAAATGGACTGTTTTTGTGAATAACAAGTACATATGTTCTAAAGAAGAAGCCACAAATGCTGAAATGCGAATAGGTAAAGGCACACTGTATATGTTTACCAAAAGTGTCTTTTCAGGCACAGATGAATAAACACATGCAAAACATAAAATCAAAATCCAGATGTGTGAAAAAAAAAAATGTGTTTATACATCGATCTTGATTCTTCTGAGCTTGAAATAAATCCAATTGTCAACTCATAGGTCTGGAAGAGGTGTTAGCCTCCACTCGGGTACTTCAAGGTGCCCAAGTTTTTTTAGTTACTATATTAAAAACAAATAAAAAAAATTCAGCTGAAAATGAAACGTTTTTCCTAAAATAATTGTCAGGGAAGGGATTAACAAACATTTCACAATTTCTAGAGAAGCAAGATATTAGTAAATGCAGTATTATCAGTGTTAATCAAGTTATATTACATATGTCTATAGAAAGGAACAACTGTTTACTTACAACTTTAGCAGCATTGTCCTTGTGCATTGTTTGACAATGTTGGACAAATGAATCACAAGCTAAATTGGCAAGTCCACAGTAAGGGCACTGGAATGTCGATCTGTTAGGCACATCACTTCTGGGAGTCTGTGATGTTAGGGCAATTGGCTTGAATTGTGTAAATGTTTTGTCAATTTTATTACATTCAATGAGTGTCTTTTTCAACTGAGAAAGGACCATCTATATAAAAAAAAAAAAAAAAAAAAAAAAAAAAAAAAGTAGTAAAAGTTTAAATCCTTTTATAAAAAGCTTCACAAGGCTATTATCATATATATATATATATATATAGATTTTTAACAACTGTAATAAAACTTATTTATCAAACCAACAGATATATTCTATAATAAAAAGCATTCTTCTGTGTGTATGTGTGTCTGATTTAGTTAAAAAAAAAAAAAAAAAAAGATGATATTTAAATTTTTAAAAGTAAAACCCTATTGATTCTGATTTGGCATGTTCCATGGAAGGTTTCAATAAACAATCTGTTTCTGTACTATTTATATATAGTGAAGATATTTGTAAATTAAAACTACATGTGGCAGTTAGCATTAGAAAATGTAGCAAAAAGTCAATATTTTAGGATTTTCAATTTAAACCCAACATTGTTCAATTATTTTTTAAATGAACAGTAGCAAAGTTAATTTGATGATAAAAAAAAAACAAAAAAAACATCTGGTTTTGTCTTTGAAATGTATTAATTTTTTTTTTACATTGTACTTTAACACCACAATAATTAAACTAATAAAAGTATATTTTACATTTTATACACAAGCATTTAGTAGCATGTATTATTAACTAACCCTAACATTAGGCAGGTGAAAATGCACTTTTTTCCACATGAATTTTGATGGTTGATATTTAAAACTAAAACATAATTTAAAAATGTAAAATTGTTAAGTTTTTTAATTTTTTTTGTTAGAAAGAAACAATCCTCAATTTCAGTCTTAAAAAAAAAAAAACAGACTTTGATCAATTCATAATTGGATATTTTTTACATTTGCTTGCATTAATCATATTTATATTGTTACATTTAAATTATAAAATTACAAGATTTTTGCACAGATTTAAATATTTTTTAATTGTCAATTTTTTAAACAAAGATCTCTAAAAAAAATCTAAAATGAATATTTTTCTTTGACATTCACATAAATATAAGAAACAAGAAATTTGTTTTACACTCAAATACTAATTTTTGAAAAAAAAAAAAAAAAAATGAAATGTAAATCTTTTAAAAACTACATAAAAAAGTTACCTAAATAATTGTATGGAAAGTAAGGACAGAATGTACATCAAATTGTTTTTTAAATTAAGCGGCAGCAGAAGAATTATGGTTGAACTTTTAAAAGGTAAGCTTAAATGCAATAATTAAATGCAGTGATCAATTTTGAGTTCTTTTTTAGTTTATTGTTGCCTAACTATTGTGATGAAGACCCAATCAAGAACCCAATAGGGTGGCTTTTAAACTAGTTAATAATAAAAAGAGAAAACCTAGAAAAAACAATAAAATACTTTTTGTAAACAATTATTATCAACACCTGCTTATTTTGTGTTTTATTATCTATTGTGGTGAGTGTCTTTGCAATCTTGCTGTTTCAAATAGGTGTTTTAAGCTGAGTAAAAATTTCTGGAAATTTATACCCTCTCACCACTGCATTCTGCCTTTTCATTCAAAATGTCTCATATAATGCACAAGAAAACACACTATTCCTTATATCAACCCATTCAGACAAAAGTAAAGATGAGACTATGGATTTACCTTGTTTCAAACAGTTCTTAGATATTTCTTTCCAAGGTTGAAATTACCATAGACTTAAGTTGTTAACCCTGAAAGAAAAAAATCATTAAATGCTTAAACTTAATTCACATTTAAAATCAGTTCAAGTTATTGGAACAACCTTTATTATAAGTTCATTATAATGAGATCTTGTTGAACTGCAAAAAAAATTCAAAGAGGAATGTTATCAGGTTGAGAGAAATATGTCATAAAATTTTATTCATCACAATTATTATTATTATCTATACTATAAAAGAAGAACTGATTCTCAGTCCATCACAAATTGTCATTGTATGACTTTGCATGCACATATGTAGATGCATATGTCTGTTTTGTTTATGAATGATTTAAATGTGCTTATATCATTTAATGTATGCACAAGCACATATGCACACAATTTGAGTTTGAAATAAGACATTGGAATAATATATTCCCTCTCATCCAATCTGAACAACCTCTGACCTAGGCTGAGCAATAAAATCATTAAATTGGAGACAAGAAAAAAAAAATAGATTTAGATTTTATTGAACTTTTTGAAATTACTCAGTGATAAATAGAAAAGTTAAAATATGCTTTAAATCAGTACATTTTTTTCTGTTCACAATGACATTCATGCTGTATAAGGCCCAAGAGCCACTTGAAGTAGAGGGTTACAGAATAGTAAGAGGTACCACCCCAAACAAGGTAATAATGTCACCAAGACACATGGGGCTAGTGGAATTAAAAGAGAAGGAAAATCTTTTAGAGGAACTGGAAATCCAATCCTAAACAGGAAACAATGGTTAAGCCTCTACAGCTGTTCAAAAGACTGGGGAGAAGTGTGAACCAGACAATGGACAAACCCTATCTACCCGTGTTAAATGAAAATTCATGGACAATGTATGGTATTTGTGCTTTAAACCATAAGAAGCACTTCCTGTATTCATAAAAGACAAGTAGAAATGCCCTACCAATATTTGAAAGTGCTCAAAAACAGATCACACAGCAGCTAATTCTCCCAAACAGTAATTGCATGTTCATGCAACAGCCCAGAAAATCTGAAATTACTGTTGGAAATTAGTGCCAGATGACTGATTGATGATTTTCTTAGATAATGTAAAAAATCTTGTAATCTGAAATTTTGTCTATATTAAACAGTTTCTTAATGGAATACAAACTTTCAAATATTTTCATTTTCTTATATTTATTTTTAATTCTGTAAATTTAACATTTTC